GAACCTCACTTCTTCAGATGCAAGTGCATCTGAAGAAGTGAGGTTCTTACCCACGAAAGCTTATGCTCCCAATACTTCTGTTAGTCTCAAAGGTGCCACAGGACCCTCTGTTGCTTTTTACAGATTCAGACTAACACGGCTACCCCTCTGAAGATTGAGGGTGTTTTCCTTTGAGTTTAAGGTTCGAATGAATCTCCCCAAAAAGGCAAAACTCAGCCCAAACCATCACATTTATCCTGGGTTCCGGGGAAGCCACAGACTTTTACATGGTTTCCTCTGAAGCCACAAACAAGCCATTGTCCTCAAGGCTCAGGGAACTCTGCCCGAATCTTGGGTTTGTTATGAAAATTTTGCACAGCGCTGTTAGGGTGTTGTGATGTCAAATCACACTCCGGTGGAGACAGAAATGTAATCTTTGTCTTCATTCTGAATGCCAGAGCTTTTGCCCTCTTGACCCAGATCTCAAACGTTATCACGTCAACATTGACTTTTGGTTTCAATTCTTTTTGGAGTTTACTTTAAAGCTCTGGTTTACACTGTCTCACTGCAGCTGACTTGGATCTGATTATCCTGAAGACTAGGTATGCTCAGAGAAGCCCACTGACCATTAACTGCCATTGGGTTCAATCATACAAATTCCTTCTTGAGGACTCCTTAAATTCTATGGATTTTTGGTGCAATGTAATGACTCGGAAACATCCATTACGTACTATATCAAAATTTGCTTAGGAGAATGTTTTATGCAAGAACTATTGACTCAGTATAGATTCTATATAGATGGCCCTATAGATTCTCAAGGAGTCTTTCTAGTTTGCCTTTTGGTGCCATTATTTCTGCTCTTGATTAATTTCATTCTTCTGGAATTTGGATACAAAGAAATTGTTGCAAATGGGGCTGGATCCTGCCAGACACCTATTGATTTTGATAGACGTTTCATACATGGGGGACTGGCAGAATCCGCCTCAGCTGCTTTGTCCTGCAGATCCTCGTATTAAAGTTTAAATTATCTTTATTTAGAGGACGAGGAGAAAGTGGCTGCTCCTATGCTGAGGTTTTTGTTTGATCACTAAATGAATTAACCCTTAATTTGTCCTACAAGTCATCAGAGATGTGGAAATTCTACTGGACATAGAGCAGCGGCCCATGTCACTCTAATCATTTTGATAATTGCTTTTGATCCCTTTATAACGTCCTCATTTTTTTAAAATATCCGCCCTCTCTTTTAAAATTTCCTATGATTAAACTCATATAAAGAAAGGGCCCAGATTATAGTCTGTGCCTAGTTTGCATAGGGGACAACCAAAAGGGGCAGCAGGGAGCCTATTCCTGCTTCCTGTCTAGCTGAGACTATTCCCCACCCTGGCATAGGTTAGAGCAACCTCAGGGCTGCTCTAACCTGTCAGCCAGCAGTCGTCCCAAGAGACTGTATCTTATCAAAGGAAGGCCAGAGTGCGCACACACACGCTTGGGCCAGGCAGGGAGGTATGTGGCACAGGAGCTGAGCAAACCTGAGCTGCCCTAGCTAAGGGCTGCCTGATACTAGTGAATTTTCAGCCCCTCATTTGGAAGTTCACCAGAGAACCTGGCCCAGAGAGTTTAATGCATCCGAGCTCCTTGTTACCTACTGCAAGAACTTAGGATCGTTCACAGTGCTGATAGAGTGAAAGCCCTCTAACTGTAGCTATTTCTGGGGCAGTGAAATACTCCTGTAAGAATGAATCGGGGGGGTGGACGGCTGCATACTTTGCACACAGGATAATATCCAGTCTTGAAAGCTATGTCCAGATGTTGGGTGGCAGCATAGGCACCGACTCCATGGGTGCTCCAGGGCTCAAGCACCCATCGAAAAAAAATAGGGGGTGCTCAGCACCCATAGGACTGGATTAATCTTTTGTGGGCCCCGACACCTGGACCATGGCCCCGCCCCCCGCTCCATCGATGCTCTGCCCCGAGGCCCCACCCCACTCAGCATCTTCCCCCCAAGGCCCTGCCCACTGCTCCGCCCCAAAGCCCCGCCCCTTCTCAGCCTTTTCCCCCTCAAGGCCCCACCCCTGCTTGGCCTCTTCCCACCCGAGGCCTGCATGAGGGGGAGTTGGCAGAGAGGAGCACCCACCGGCAAAAACAAAAGTCAGCACGTGTGGGAGGCTACCGACGTAGTCTCATGAAAGTTACAAGAGGAGCTTTTACTGTTGGTTGTTTCTTTATGGTAATAATCAGTGAGATTTAAATCACATCTATGAAAAAAGCAGAGTTTAATTTTAGCCCATATAAGCTGTATATTTCTACTCTCCACCTTCAGCTTGTTTTTCTTAACCGTCTTCATTTATTTTCTCGCTTCCTTTTGGAGACAGCTGATAGCTGTGACCTCCAGTCCTTAGTTATTCTGAAATTACCTTGAATTGGCCTGTGTGGCAGGTGTGTTGTTATACTGACACCTAGAATAGTGAGTGGGAAGGTGTCAAACAGATGTATGTAGTCTGTTGTTCCAATTGCCTTTGCAGAGAAGTGGAGCTGAATTTCCTAACCAATTTTTTGTATGTAAAAGAAAACCCATTCTGAACACAGTTTAATTGTACAAGGTGCTCGGATTGTCACGTAAAGATTTGAGCAGACATCAGAATTGACGGATGACTCTTTCCGGCATGTAATTCAAGTTCCAGAAAATGAACAAGGTTTTAGAATAGTGTGTTGCTAAGGTCAGATATGGAACGAAGATTGCTCTAGGGTGAAATGTGGATAAAGTTGCTAGGTCAAATACTTATAAACAGACACATTTTTACTTAATATCTATTGGGTCAAATTCAGAATGGGTATAGTCAGGTGCAGACTCTCTTGATGAAGCTGCATGTTGTTATCCCAGTTCTGAATTAGGCTCTTAGACAGGGGACTGAGGTTTACAATGGCATATTTTATCTCTGTAGATGGAAGAGCTAAAGGGCCTGAACATCGTTACTCTGGTCGAAGGCTGGGAACATTATTGTCCATGACAGGTCATTCCTTAAGACCAAGTACTCTGGTTCCACTGCCTTCCCTGAGAAGGACGTACGTTAAGCCTCACTGTGCTAGCCCAGCCCGCTGGGTCTGAGAGCAGCTATGCTCCAAGAAGGAAGCATGCGGTGGTCCTGCTGCTGACCTCCCTTAGGTTTTACCACCAAGGATGGTCAACTCTAAACAACAGTCAAGGCTCTGCAGAAGCCCCGCTGGCAGAGGGAGAATGTGCTGAATCGGTGCATCCAAGCCAGCACGGTCCACTTTGGAGTCTGTGCTTGGCCCATTCTGATGCCCCTAGAGCAGGGAAGATGGTAGCAGCTTTGCACCATATTCCAGTGTCCCCTTGGCATAGACCCTGGCCTGGATCCAGCTCCTGGCCTATAGGCCGCAAAGCTCTACTCTCTGGCGTCTTATTAAAGCATTTAAAATGTGATGCAAAAGTAATATCCATGGTCCCATGCGAATAAGCCCCTCTCCTCACTGACGTTTTGGATCACCCCTTAAAACCTGAAGGAGAAATATATTTATCCTTAGAACCCAAAGGGGGTGGGGAGGAAAGTCTCAGCTCCTGTTCCTCTCCCTTCTAATTTCCCTGCCCCTTCACTCCCACTCCAGCTCCAGAACACTATTCCTCCCACCTCTCTACAAGAAGTGTTAGAAGATTCCCCCAATGCTCCCAGCAGGTAGAGAGCTCCCTCCTCCCACCTAACACCGCTAGGCTGCTCCCAAGTTCTGTGCCAAGAAGCCATTGCACCTGGCCTCTGTCACCTCCGCAAGCCATCTGACAGAGGCATAATAACCTCTGGGCACTGATGTTTGGTTTTAAAGAAAGACTTCCTCTGACACTTGGCCTCCATTTCTGACATTCCACCCTTCCCAGCTCTGCCTTGGTAGAAGCAGGCTGGAGCCCTAGAACCCAATCCTGGGGACATTGAGGGCAGGTCTACATTACGGGGTTAAGTCAACCTAAGTTACACAACTCCAGCTACGTGAATAACAAAGCTGGAGTCAATGTAGCTTAGGTTGACTTATTGCATTGTCTACACCCTGCTGGGTCAACTGGAGAAACTCTTCTGTCGACTTACCTTACGCTTCTCGTTCTGGTGGAGTACCGGAGTTGACGGGAGAGAGATCTGTGGTCGATTTAGCGGGTCTTCACTAGACCCACTAAATCAACCCCCAGTGGATTGATCACCGCAGCATCGATCCATGGGAAGTGTAGACATACCCTAAGTAC